GAGATCAGTGGGTAGTGTATCAGCCTGGCTCAGTGGTAGCGCTATCACCTTTGAGTCAGAAGGTTGTGGTTTCAAGCCTCCATGTCGGGACTTAGAATCACATAGTCTAAGCTGACGCTCCAATGCAGCGCTGGGGGGGTGGGAGTGGGGAGGCGGGTGTTGTATTTTCGGAGGTACCGTCCTTGGGGGTGAGACGTTGGATAAACCAAGGTCCCGTCTGCCTGTTCAGGGGGACGTTAAAAAGATCTCAAGGCGCCATTCAAAAAGAGAAGAGAGTTTCTCTCTCCCGGTGTCCTGGCCAACAACAAAATCCTCCAAATAAATCAGATTTTCTACCACTCATGCAATTCGGACTTTGCGCACATCACATTAAATGTTGTGGGTCCCGACCGTTACCACTTGTGTGAGTTTTACTGTATTACCTGAGCGGGGTATTGCGTTACATATTACAGTATCGTTACTTTAGCCTCGTAGGAAACCCGAGTCGGCCTTGCGTCTCGTCGAGTTAAACCTCTTTCTGCCTTCCACAGGGTGCGAGGATTGCAAGGAGTACCACAACTCTGAGTGTCCCAACCTGGGCCCCCTCGTAACAGTCAGTGACTCCTTCGTCCTGAGCAGAGCACGGTAAGTGCCAAGGCCATCGCTGTCTCTTGGGGCAGGTCTGCCTGTCAGATGTTGCAGGCTACGTGTCCGGGAGCTGGTCAAACCAGTTAGGTAACGATAATGATCTTTGCATTTGATGTAGCACTTTGTCACATGGTTGAGACGTCTCAAAGCGCTTCACAGTGTGTGAAGTGAATTGACTATTTTGTGGGCGAAATGCAGCAGCCAATTGAGCACAACAGTGTCCCACAAAGAGTCGTGGATTGAGTGGCCAAATTATTTTATTTATTTATTGAAGGGATTATTACCCCTGGAAAGCGATCCGTCAATCGACTAACAACTGGGTTATAATAATAAATAATAATAATCCTTGCATTTGATATAGCGCTTTTCACGTCGGGAGGACGTCCCAAAGCGCTTCACAGAACACACTGTAGGGTTCCTACTTATTGCTAGGTAAACAGTGACGTGTGGAGTAAGGAAATTTGCCTAAGGTTTCGCCCCGCCCTGGAATTAAACCCTGGTCCTCTCTCTTGCGAGGCGAGAGCTCTAACCACCAGGCTGTAGGGCTCCACTAGGCTTCGGGGAGTCCTGTAGCATATTTTCAGTGAGTGGCGTGGTATCTGCTGATCCTAAACCCAAAACATTGGGCTCTTTTTTTGTCAACATATAGGTCTTCGTTGCCGCCCAATTTGGAGATCAGGCAGTTGGAGGATGGAAGTCAAGGGGTCTTTGCCCTGTCTCCGCTGGTAAAGCGCACACAGTTTGGACCCTTCGAAGCCAAAAGGGCCAGCAGCCACCCAGAAAAAGAACCGGGGTTTTCTCTAAAGGTAAGTGTACTTCTTCCCACCTTCAGTAGTTGCTGCGTAGAAGAGGAGACACCTTCCTGAGGTGTTCCTCACAGAGCATTTGCTATCTGACCAAGACTGACTGTTTGCCTTCCTCCACCTCTGCCACAATGGCAGCTCTGCCCCTATCTCACACCAAATGGCGCCGAGCCCTTATGAGCACTGAACTCCGTGCCCCCATCACCCCAGTTCTTGCCAGGCTCCATAGGCTCCCTGTTGCAGAAATAATGAATTCCAAGATCCTCCACTCACCTACAAACCTTACAAAACAACTGTTTCTTGTCATCGAGGGCTGCCACTGACCCTTCGTCTCTCTGTCTTGCCTCCGCTTGCCGCCGAATCCTGCTACAGGTTTTCCAGAAGGACGGATCGGTGGTTTACTTTGACAAAGCCAACGAGGAGGACTGCAACTGGATGATATTCGTGCGTCCGGCCACGGACGTGAAGCACCAGAACCTCTCGGCCTATCAGCAGAACGTCGAAGTGTACTTCACAACGTTGCAAGTACGGGAGAGCAATGATTGCTATGTGCGCGTCAGGGATAGCGCTCTCGCCTCCTGAGTCGGAAGGTTTGTGGGTTCAAACCCACCACATCGGGACTTGGAATTGCATAGCCTAAGCTGAGGCTGCAATACGCCGCTGGGGGCGTGTTTGATTGTCGGTAGATGCCGTCCTTCGGCTGACACGTTAAACCGAGGTCCCGTCTGCCTTTTTTCAGGCGGACGTTAAAGATCGCATAATAGTCGGAAAGAGAAGCAAATTTCTCTCTTGCCCGGCCATCCCCCAAATAAAAATGTGATCACTCACTTCACGGCTGTTTGTGGGACGCTGCTGTGCGCAATTGACTGCCGAGTTTTGCCCACAAAATACCCAGTCAAACCACTGTACGCTGTATCCCATGAAGCGCTTTGAGACGTCTCAACGACGTGATAAGGCACTGTATCAATTGCAAGGATTATTATTGTGGGGGGAAATGGGGGGGGGGGTGTCATCTAACCCCAACAGCCAGACCGGACAACTTTCAGACTTCTTTAGTGTATTAAAGGAAATGCTCTCCGCCCACACCCACGCCCACATTGATAACAAAATGCTAATAATCCTAGCATTTCACGTAGCAACATGACACGTTGCTGAACAACCAGGTTCCTATTTACTGCCTGGTAAACACAGGCATGTGGAGCACGGAAATGCCCTGCCCGGGAACCGAAGCCCTGATCCTCTCGCTTGCCAGGTGACCGCGCTAACCACTATGCTACAGGACTATAAATGATTCAATAATAAATATCTTCACTTCTTCCCCCCACCCACCCCACACACACACGCACACACACATACACACACACACACACACACACACACAGGATGTCCAACCTGGCACTGAGCTGCGAGTCTGGTATGCTGCTTTCTACGCCAAAAAGATGGAGAAACCCATCCTGAAACAAGTGTCCAAAGGGGTGAAGGGTAAGCCACCGACCAGGGCCGCTTCTCTCCCTTTCAATTTGTCCCTTACTGCTTTCTGTGGCTCTCCTGTCCTCCTGCGGTGGTGGTGGGGAGTGGGTGGGGAGAGGTCTGTCTGGGAACCTGCCCAGGAATGGGTCATCATTGGCTGGGTGGAGGTGCGGAGGGGCAATGGGAGCCTTGGCGTGGTCTGGAGTGCGCACGGGACAGCATTGGCTTGGGATTGGGTCAGCGTTGTTCTCAAGGGGGTTGGGGGACAGCTCTTGTCTGGAGATGGGTCTGTGGTCTCGTCCGCATGTGGTCGTGCTCCTCCCTATCTCTGGGACAACTTAACACCATACCAACCTGTCCCGCTCCCTCTGCTCGGCGGGCACTGGCTTGCTGCACCACCGGGCCTTCAGCCTTTCTGCCCCTACCCTCTGGAACTCCATCCCCAAATCCCTCCGCCCTGACCTCTCCCTTCCCTCCTTCACGGCCCGTCTCAAGACCTTCCCCATTTGACCGTGCCTTCAACCATGCCCCCACCCCCCTCTTCCTCTACCCTCCACCCCTCTTGATTCCAACCCCCAGCTCAGGTCCAAAGCCAGTGTCTTGGGATGTCCCTACTAACCCCCCCCCCCAATCTGACGTGAATGGCTCTGTACGCATGTTGTAGTCTGGAGAGGGTTGGGAGGCTCTGGCCTGAGGATGGGTGAGTGGTCAGGTCGGGGGTTGGCATTGCATTGGCTGGAGGGGCTGCGGCAACAATCCAGGCTACACTCGACCTGAGCGTCCCCTTGTGTTGGGGGAAGGAGTCACTCGAGTGCGAGCGGAGAAAAGTCATCGCAGTAAAACCTTTTTGATTTGCTTCCCTCTCTTCCCAGACGGGAGCTTGGTGCACATCCAGTGCAAGAACGAAGAGGCCAGGAAGCTTCAGAAAGGTGGCTCCGTGCTACCCTCATGCGACAAGCACAGTGCCTCTGGGCTCCAGTCTCCCTGTGAGTCGCTGCCCCTCATTCAGTCTCAAGTCTATATTTTAAAAATCATTTTTAATAACAATAATAATCCTTGCATTTGATACAGCGCCTTATCACGTTGTTGAGAACGTCTCAAAAGCGCTTCACAGGATATACTGTAAAGTGGATTGACCTGCGTACTTTGTGGGCGAAACGCACCAGCCGACTGCGCGCATACGGTGGTGGATTGAGAGTGGCCCATTTTTTTTTTGAGGAATTATTATCCTCGGAAAGCGATTCGCCAATTGACAAACATCCGGGCTCCTGCTTACTGCTTGATAAACAGAAGCGCGTGGGGAAAGGAAACTTGCCTCAGGTTTTCGCCCGCAAAGCGAACATGCTAACTGCTGGTCTACAGGACTCTACTCCACCAAGATTCTCGGTCTACATATTTTTTTCCGCTTAAACTTTTCCCTCCTTTATCTCTGTCGCTCCACACCTGCCCCGTTCGGCCCTCAACTGTCCTTCATCCACCCCCTCATCTGCGCTATGACTCGCTCCGCCTTTCCCCACCTCCGCAGCTTCGCCCGGCTCCGCCACTGTCTCACACCCCAGGCCACCGAGACCCTCATACACGCATTCAGAGCATCCAGGCTCGACTACGCAAACTCCCTGCTTGTCGGCCTCCCCAACTCCTCCCTCCACTGGCTGCGGGTCATCCAGAACTAACTCTGCAGCCCGTGTCCTCTCCCACACCAGTGCTCCGTGACCCTATCACTCCCATCTTCGCCCAACTCCACTGGATTCCCATCACGCAGAGGATACAGTTCAAGATCCTGTCCCTCACTTTCAAAGCCCTCCGTGGCCTTGCTCCTCCCCTACCAACCTGCCCACTCCCTCCGCTCAGCGGGATTCGGCCTGCTTCACATCTCCCGCCTAGCATCCCCATCCACCACCCACCATTCGCCTTCAGCCTCTTTGCCCCCCACTCTGGAACTCCAACCCACAGTCCCTCCGCCTCACCCACCCCCTCTCTTGCCTTCTTCAAGACCCGTCTCAAGAACCTCCTCGTCGACCATGATTTTGGTCACCCTCCTTCCTTCCCCTGCCCTCCACCTTCCCCGATCAGGACCCCCGGCTTGGGTGCAGATCCCTGACAGTCCAGCACTTTCGGACGTCCTCCCAACGTGAAAGGCGCTGTGTAAATGTAAATGTAACTAAGTGTTGTTGCGTTGTTGGAGGTGCCGACCTGCGGATGAAACTTTAAACCGAGATCCCATAGCACTATTTGAAAAGAGAAGGGAGTCTCTCTCTCTCGGTGTCCTGACCGACAACCCTCCAAATAAAACTTGTCACTCACACCATGACTGTTTGTGGGCCGATGCTGTGCACAAACTGGCGGCTGCATTTCGCCCACAAATACACAGTCACTGCACTTTATCCTGTGAAGCGCTTTGAGACATCTAGGTGACGTGATAAGGCGCCTCATCAAACGCAAGGATTTGTATTAAATCAAGAGGTATTGGAAGAGGAGGGACGTCAAAGGAGGGTGAGCGGGAGAGGGAGTAGAGGAGGGTGGGGGGATTGAGGGAGGGGATGGGGGTTGAAGGAGGGGAGGGGATAGGGGTTAACGGAGGGGAGGGGGTGGGGATTGGAGGAAGAAGGGGAAGCAAGGAGAGTTAGAATTGGGCTGCGTCGCTTAAGCGGCAGAAACGCCAGAGCAGACCTAACCTGATGGTCGTTAAGGCATGGGTTTGTGCCGTTCTGTGGTCCTACGAATGACTCGATTAACGACCTTCTCCCCCCTCCTCCACCTCCCCCCCCATCCTCTTGCAGCTGGAGATCAGGAGAGCAGCGGCCTGCCCGACGGACACCCCTCCCCCCACACCCCTCTCCCCCCCCCCCCCCACCCCCCTCCCCCCCACACCCCCTCCCCCCCACACCCCTCCCCCCCACACCCCCTCCCCCCCCACCCCTCCCCCCCCCCCACCCCTCTCCCCCCCACACCCCCCTCTCCCCCCCACACCCCTCCCAACACCACCAATGCAACATACCTCCCCTCCGGGCCCTCGGATTTTTTGGGGGGTGTTTCTCTCTCTCTCTCTCTCTTTCTTTCTATCTCTTTTCTCTCTCTCTCCCCCCCCCCCCCGGATCCCCTGCTCGTTGTTGTCGTCGTCGTCGCTGCTGCTGTCGTCGTTGTTGTCGTCGTCGTTGTCGTTGGGGTTTTTTTTCTCTCTCTCCGTCGATTAATTAATAAATATTGTAGAAAGAAAAGGAGAGGAGAGAGGGAGAGGAGAGAAGGAAAAAATGGTTCGATTTTCTGCCGAGAAGTCCTGGCTCCGGGTTCCGTCTGCGACGCGCTCCGATCCGCTCCGATCCGGAACCTCCTCTTCCCCCCCTCCCCGACCCCCTCTCTCTGGCTCTCTCTCTCTCTCGCTACTGCGCAAGAGCGGAACCATCACTCGAACAGCCTCACGGGAATTGTTGTTCTCTCCCCCCCCCCCTCTCCTCTCGCTCCTTCTCTCTCTCAACTGCGCAAGAGCGGAACCATCACTCGAACAGCCTCACGGGAATTGTAGTTCTCTCCACTCCTCCCCCCCCCCCCCCCAACCCCTCCATTGCCCATGCGCGGCCCGAAAGGCCCGGGTTCCAAACCGGCTGGCGCCCCATGCCGGCGGCCCGCGGGCCGCGTCCGGCCCCGGCGCTCGCTTCGCCCTAATATGACGCTACTAATCCTGGCATTATCGGACGGCATTATCTGGCATTATCTGACGTCTTCTTTTCACGTCTTCTCGACGTCCCGGAGGCCCCTCGCAGGATAGGCTGCACAGTGAATTGACCGGATATTTTGTGGGCGGAACGCGGCAGCCAATCGCGCGCGGCAGCGTCCCCGCAAACAGCCGTGGATTGAAGATGACCAATTTATCATTATTTTTTGTTTTTGGAGGGATTATTATTAGGTGTGTGGCGTAATAATAATAATAATAATAATCCTTGCATTTGATATAGCGCTTTTCACGTCGGGAGGACGTCCCAAAGCGCTTCACAGAACACACTGTAAAGTGAATTGACTGTATATTTGTGGGCGAACGCGGTAGCCAATTGCGCACAGCAATGTCCCACAAACAGTCGTAGATTGAAGATGACCAATTTATTATTGTTTTTGGTTTTGGAGGGATTATTATTAGGCTCTGTGTGGAGTAAGGAAACTTGCCCAAGGTTTCGCCCTCTGCCTGGAATTGAACCCAGGTCTCTCACTCGCAAAGCGAGTGCTCTAACCACTGAGCTACAGGACTCCACATTCGTGCGTCCCGAGACCGTTTCCGACCTATAGATAATACATAGCTTATTATTATTATTATTCCTGTAGCGAGTGGTTAGAGCACTCGCCGAATCGCGAGCGAGAGGGACCGGGACGGGGGGGGGGGGGTGGGTTTCGATTCCCAGGGAGGGCGAAACAAAACGGGCACGTTGCCTTTACTCCACACGCCTCTGTTTACCTGGGAATGAGTAGGAACTCGGTTGTGAGTCGATTGGCGGATCACTTTTCCGGGGGGGGGGGGTAATAATTCCTTCAAAAAAATGTAATAGTAAATTGGTCACTAAATCCACGACTGTTTGTGGGACCACTGCTGTGCGCGCGTTTCACCCATTGATTACGTGCCCGGGGTGCGGGTGGGGGGGGGCGGGGGAGCATTTTGAGACGAGCCGGGGGAGAGGGAGGTGACCAAGCAAATAAGATAAGGTGCGAGGGAGGGCGTACCTTCTTACTGCTGGGTAAACAACAACAACAACAACAACAACTTGCACGTGGTCATTTAAAGGGAAGACGGCACAGCCCGGCCCGGCCCGGCCCATGGGCAGGACTGGGAAGGATCGACCAGTCAGTGGGGGGCAATCAGTCCCAATCAGTCCAGTTAACCCGGGTAGGATGGTCCGAGCTGGACGAGCAGCGGGAAAGCTTACCCCAGTCAGCGATATCAATAAGACGCTACGTGGTCTTAGCTGGTTAGACTCCAGCAGTCCCCACCCCACACCCCCCCCCACCCCACCACCACCACCACCACGGCACACACTGGGGTACCCCCGAGCCCACAAGCCAAAGTCGGTCGGGTTTTGCTCGCCTGCAGCTTCACGCTTAGAGATGCGTCATTCGCCCCATCGAGCCCGCACTGGCTCCGAGAGCAAGGAGACCGCTTTGCCCCGCCGCCCCCGCCTTGCGTGGCTCGCCTCCGAGTCAGACGGTCGGGGGTTGAAGTTCCCACCTCGGGACTTGGAATCACAGAGTCTAAGCTGACGCTCCAACGCAGTACTCGAGAGTGCGTCGGAGGTGCCGACCTTCGGATGAGACGTTAAACCGAGGTCCCGTCTGTGCCTGTTCAGGTGGATGTTAAATAGTAACGACAACAACATATTACACCAACTTCTCCCCCACCCCGCCCGCCCGCCACCCCGGTTGTGGGGCCTCACACACACTCGCTCACTCCCACTCCCCCTTAGCTCCCACTGAGGCATTCCCACTTGCTCCCACACGCTCACATTTGCGCACTTGCTCGTATACAACAAGATTACATTTGTATAGCGCCTTTCACGTCAGGATGGCATGGTCGAAGAGGAGGGTTTTGAGGCGGGACTTGAAGGAGGCTAAGGAGGGGGCGAGGCGGAGTGACTGGGGGATGGAATTCCAGAGGTTGGGGGCAGAGTGGCTGAAGGCTCTCCTGCCAATGGTGGGGCGGGTGGGGCAGGGGACGTGGAGCAGGCCAGAGCCGGCTGAGCGGAGGGAGCGGGTGGGTTAGTAGGGGGTTAGGGTCGCAGAGGTAGGGTGGGGCGAGGCCATGGACGGTTTTGTAGGTGAGGACCAGGATCTTGAACTGGATCCTCTGAAGGATAGGGAGCCAGTGGAGTCAGGCGAGAGTGGGGGAGATGGGGTCACGGAGTTTGGTGCGGGAGAGGACACGGGCTGCAGAGTTCAGGATTATCTGCAGCCTGTGGAGGGAGGAGTTGGGAAGGCCAACAAGTGGGACGTTTGCATAGTCGAACCTGGAGGTGATGAAGGCATGAACAAGAGTTTCAGTGGCCTGAGGGGTGAGGTAGTGGCGGAGTCGGGCGATGTTACGGAGGTGAGGGAAGGCAGAGCGGGTCATGGCTTGGATGTGGGGAAGAAAAGACATTTGGGTGTTCGAACAAGACACTGAGGTCCCTGACTGGCTGGTGAGTTGTAGTGTGCAACCATGGAGGCTGATGCTGCCAGAGCCTGAGATGCTGAGGCGGTGGCGCGAGACGATCAGGAGGGCCTCAGTCTTGTTCACATTCAACTGTAGGAAGTTTACCATCATCCAGGACTTGATGTCCGACAGGTAGTCTGTCAGGACAGCGGTGGTCCTGGAGTTGAGGGTGGAGGCAGAAGGATAGAGTTGGGTGTCATCTGCATACATGTGGAAGTTGACCCCATGTCTGCGGATGATGGCATCAAGGGGGAGCGTGTAGGTATTAAAGAGGAGAGGGCCAAGGACAGAGCCCTGGGGGACACCAGACGTGACAGTGCGGGGGCTGGAGGAGAAACCGTTAGAGGCAACAAAGTGGAGACGGTGAGAGAGACAGGACTCGAACCAGACAAGGGCAGGTCCGCGAAGATTGAGTAAGGCGGTGTATGAAGATGGAGTGGTCGACAGTGGCGAAGGCGGCAGAGAGGTCGAGGAGGACAAGGAAGCAGAGGGAGCCCTGATCACAGACACGTGCGTTCACGCTCACTCCGTCTGGCTCACTCATAGTCGCTCGCTCTGAACACTTGTTCACACTTGCTTACACACACACCCACACACACACATAGAGTGGGGCTGGTCGCAGCCTCTGTCAACCTCCTCTCCCCCCTCTCTCTCTCCCCCCACCCCCCACCCCCACCCCGGCTCTCTCTCCCCTCCGCACTCTCTGCCCCCCCCCAGTTCCCTCCTCTTCATAACTTACCCTGTGTGAATATGCTGTACAAATGTAATCTTGTTGTTGTTGTTGTTGTTGCGCAGCACCTTTGACGTCGGGAGAAAGTGAAAGGCACAATCAAAAGGGAGGGGAGGAACAGAGGCGAAAGAAAGACAAAAAAAGATCACAGACACGCACATCATTTCATTGCATATTTATTGCATTAGATTCAGGAATTAAGACAATAGTTTCACATATTGGTTTTGTACAGGCACTATATACACGATAAAGGCAGATGGTCACATCAGTGTTTAGTTAATTAAGAGAGCATTTTGCATGCAAGTGTTTCATTCAACAATAAGTTAAGTGTGCAATCGGCTTCCTGGCTCAGTTTCCATTATAACATTATACATCTTAATAAGCTTCACGGAGTGGTAGTGGAGGGTGGGGTGGGGGGGGGGGGGGGGGGGGGAGAAGGGGAGGCGATTTAGGGTTAGGGGAGGAAGAGAAGGTCCTCAATCATGAGATGACCCTCATGTACAATCATTGTGCCCGTTAACAGAAAGTACAGCAAAAAAAAGACACACACAATTCATCCTATGAGCTGCCTAGGTATCAATTGCATTTTTTTCTTTTAATATTTAATAAAAAAAGTAAACTTTTTAAGTGAAGAAATGATTAGTATTCAGTTTCAACAGCGGCGCACGTTCCCCTTTTTACCTCTTTGGTCGTAGGTTCAGTATCCTGGGGAGATTTGGGTTGAATGTGCCAATTTTGAGTCAATGAGGTCCCCATCCAACGGAACTCAACCCAACCCAATCCCAGTCCAATGGTTAAGATCCAGTATCATTTGACTTCCCCTTCCCTCACCCCACCAAAAGGATAAAAGTTTTTTTTAATTTCCCATGATGGTGAGTTAGTTTGGAGAGACAGAGGGTAGGGGGGGGTGCAAAAAAAGACAAGTATTCTTGTAAACAGCTTCCCTCATTCCCAAAGTAGGGGAGGGGAGGGAGAGTGCATTGGATACCCAACACACCTTTGCTCTGGATTGGCGATAGACAAAGCGTGTACTGAAAAACAAGGGAGAGACAAACAAGGGTCTCTCTCTCCCTCTGTCCAGTTTACTCCTGATTGGCAGGACTTTCACACTCGATAACTTTACAGCTTATAAAAAAAAGGAAGAAAATTTCAGAGGAGCTACCGTATGTAGCTGGAAGCATGTAGAGAAAGAACAGCTTCATTGAACCCTCCCTCCAACACACACACACGCGCAACCCCTTTAATTAACCCGAGGGAGAGGACAGAGAGCAGAGAAGAAAAATAGTGAGAAAGCAAAACAGTCATTTCAAACCAACTGAAAATTCACAGCGCTTATTAACAGTGTCGCCTTGCAGATAAACACACTGTTCGGAAATACAGCCACAGGTACTTAATCCGTTCTGGTGTCCCTTGTGCAAGATGGGGTGCATCCTTGATTTTATATATAACACACACCATATAAAAATCAAAGGAACACACGCCGCATCTATCTTAGGCGCAAAAGAAAACGATTTCCTCTTTGTTTAGTTGTTATCTGCTCTTGTGTTCACCTCCCACGCTCCGCCCCTCCAAAATTGGGGGGGGGGGTGGGAAACACAGACACAAGCTAGTGACGCGACAAGAACAAGGAACAGGAAAAAGGACATGTAATAATAATAATAATAATCCTTCCATTTGATATAGTGCCTTATCAGGTCATTGAGACGTCCCAAAGCGCTTCACAAATATATACTGTAAAGTGGAAATGACTGTGGATTTTGTCAGCGAAACACGGCAGCCAATTGCGCTCAGCAGTCATGGAGCGAGTGATCAAATTATCATTATTAAGGCCGGGGTTTAAACCCTTTGTGCCCCAACAACCAACCAAAATTAAGCCTGGAATGAAGATAAGGCAGGCTATCACAAATGGCTATTAATTACTGGTCGGTGATCAGCAGTCATGGCCGGTAGGGAAGAAGGAGGTAGAGTTTAATCACATCAGTTTATTATAATTAATGGACCGGAGCAAACAAAGTAATGTAGGATTTTGAATGGACGGGTCATCTGGGGTAACAAATGACCACAGTCTCTCTTTCCCTTCCATCGCCTCCCCGTACCCATCACCTTATGGCTTGAGCGAGTCCTCGTGTGTCAAGGCTTCAGTGATCTGACCAGCAATTTGCAGCGAGGACAAGGGAAAGGGGAGGAACGCAGAGAAGGGAAAGCAGTGAAACTTGAGCCATTCATGAATTTACCTGCTCTTTCGTTTCCCCGCAAGGAGTCTACTGTACACAAATTGATACAGGATGCCTTGAAGACTTTGGCACAGCGCCGCCGGGCATAAGCCAACGTTAATTTTTGTTTTAAAAAAAATGTAAATTACTTAAACTTAATTGTTTAAAATTAATTGTTGTTAAAAAAAAGGAGCGTGACAAAATTCTACCTCGCCTTAACCTTCCTGCGGGACCATTTTGCTTTCAAAGATTTAAGAGCAGGCAGAAAAATTGGCATTTTAGCTTAATACAGGACGACCCCAAAAATTCATGATACCATTTATTCTAATAATAATTACTTTATTTCATCCTAATTTCTTTTGAGACTCATTGGAATGGTATCACGACTTTTTGGTCACCCTGCGCACACATACACGCACACTCGCGCACGCACAAAGTTTCCTCTGATTCATCAGTAAATGTTTCAAGTGCCGTGTCCGGTAACGACCCTTCGGAGGGGCAGCGCCAGCGAACGTTCATTTTTTTTTGTTTTAAAAAAAATGTCAATGACTCCCGAGATTTAATTTTTTTTCAATTAATCTTTTTCTTAAAAAAAAAGGTCTTAAAGCGGCCCTTTCGTGCACTACGCTCACGTGGGGCTGTTAGGAAGCGAGCGATTTTGCGTTGCTTTGTTTTGTGTTAAAAGTTGAAGGTACGTTCCTCGATACAGCCTCACCCGCTCCCACCCCGCGACAAGCAAACAGAGAAGATAGTGAGGAGGGAAGGAGTGTGTGTGTGTGTGTGGGGGGGGGGGGGGGGCGGGAAGAACGACGGAGAAGACCCCAAATTCCACCAAGTCTCAACCTGGTGCGAGAAAACCCTCTGTCTGTTTTTTTTTCGGTTAAGGATACGGGGAAATAGCCACAGTCTTCGAAATGAATCGTGGAAGCTAGTTTCCCTGCAGGTCCATTTAACCGACTTGAGTTGATTCCCTGCCTTGGTGACCCCCAATCACTGGGGGGGGGGGCAGGGAATCCTCCCACTCAGCTCCTGTTAACCGTTCAAGCCAAAGCCCTGACGGGTAGGGTGATCCGAGCTGGACAACCAGCGGGAAAGCTTGTCAGACAGCGGTATCGATGGCAAGCTGTGCGGTTTTAGCCTCCAGCGGTTACCCCCACGTACACTCTGGGGTCCCCCAAGCCTTGGCTCTTGCCAACACCCCACCCATCCCCCCCGCCCCGCCACCACCCAAAAACAGCAAGCCTAAGGCTACGGTGGCATTTTTCAGCAATGAGGTAAAAAAAAAAATAATAATAATAATAATACACAAGCTTTAAAAACAGGATTTGGGCTCATCTTAAAGATCAGAACAACTGTAATGCCGTGTGTAACTGTCTTCAGTTTCGTCCGGTCGATCAGGAGGGTCGGTCGGTCGCTCGTACATCACTCACAGTGCAACAGGGGGGCGCGTGGAAGGGGGAAGGAAGTGTTTTGGGGTTGCGATTTCAGTCCAAGGCAGAGCCGTTCAAAGCGGCCTTGTTTTTAGACTTTGGGAAGAGCTTTTTCCTTTGCTTCCGCTCTGACTTCCGCTCCTTCTCCAGGGGAGTCGGCTGATCCAGAAACACCAGGTCGTTGTGAGACTGGCTCATCCCGGGATCCTTCTGGTGATGTCGGCGTCGGAAAAAGAACTTGGGCCCGCTCCGCATAAAGCCGCCTGGGTGCGTGTGTGGGGGGGGGNGGAGGGGAGGAGGAGAGGAGAGGGATAGGGGAGGGAAGGAGGAGGGAAAGACGCGAGGAAAATAATCAACGGCAAAAGAATGGCAAAGCATCTCGCACGGCAGCACCTCGCAAAGCATCAGCAACAACATCAGCGGCACATTACATTTGTACAGCGCCTTTCTCGTCAGGAGGAGGTCACAAGGCACTGACTGGATAGGCAAAGATTTGAGATTTGCTGGGTGTTGGGTGTTGGGTGTGGGGGGGGGGGTTGGGATCAGGAGGGGAGGAGGTGGGGGTGGGTGACAGAAGGCGAAGCCGAAGCGGAGGCGGCATCGGCTTGCGAGCGATTAACAAAAAGAAAAGCGAGGTCAAATCCAGGGAAGACCGCCCGGATCGGTGCGAACGCCACGGTAGATGTTTGTCAGGGCAGGGTATCGAGGGAGACGGGGAGCAAAGGGAGTCACGGTACAGGTCAGCCGTGATCTAACAGAACGGCGGAACAGGCACGAGGGGCTGAATGGCGTATTCCTGTGTTCCTATGTACCAGGACGGTAATAATAACAACAATAATAATAATAATAATCCTTGCATTTTGATATAGCACCTCATCACATCGCTGGGTCGGCTCAAAGCGCTTCACAGGATTTACTGTAAAGTGAATTGACTGTGTGTATTTCGGGGGTGAAACGCGGCAGCCAATTGCGCCCGGCGGTGTCCCACAAACAACCGTGGCGGAGCTAGACGTGTGTGTTTTTTTTTCTAGTAACTCCTACGTGCCGAGTGATCAGGAGCTCACTGCGTATCGTTTCAGCGAGCTAACGTTTTTACCTCTGGGCTTCTTCACGGTCCCCGCGTCGACGGAGCCATCGATGGAGATGCTGGACCTGCGTTCCAAACCCGCGTCCTCCAGGGAGCCGTTGCTGCACTTGGACGCCAGCCCGTCCACCACCACCTCCTCCTCCTCTTCCTCCGCCTCCTCCCCTCCCGCACAAGGAGTCGCACGGGCCTCGCCGTCGTCGCCGCCCGCGGGCTCAGCGACCGCCAGCGGCCCGGCCGAGGAGGGAGATTGTTCCCGGGCCGGGACAGAGGGGCAGGTGGGCTCTGCTGCCCCCCCCACCACCACCCTCACCAACGCAGCAGCGGGCAGGGGGTCCGGCCTCAACGACGCATCCATTGTGGCCGCGTAATCGGACCACAGGGTCATTTCGTTGTCCGCGGGTAAGGGGGCCTGGGAGACAAATCACACGCACAGCAATGGAACACAGCGACTCAGTATAATAATAATAACAATAATAATCCTTGCATTTGAGACGTCTCAAAGCGCGTCACAGCATATACTGCAAAGCGAACCGACTGTGTGTTTTGTGGGCGAAACGCGGCAGCCAGTTGCGCGCGATAACATCCCAGCGGGCGCTTTTTTTTTACAAAAAACCAAAAAAAATGGGTCTCGTGTGCAGAAAATGCCTGTTTTGAGGTGGTTGCAAAGCTTCAGTCTGGAGCGAGGGGAACGTCTGATCAGCATGTCCTGCGTTTTCTTTTCATTACGTGAACAAACTAACTTGCGTTAACCTCTCGCCCTTAACGTCTGAAAGCGCTTAAGAGCAGCGGGAGTCTGACGCCGAGAGCTGGGGGGGGGAGGGAGGGAGGTGACCGTATGCACGGTCCAAGAAGATATTTCGTGATCTGAGAGAGGGGAAGGAGGAAGTAAGACGGAGGGATTGGGGTGGGTGGGGGGGAGAGAGAGTTCCAAAATTTTGGTGGGTGTCGTGACTGAAGGTACGGCCACCGACGGTGTGGAGAGGAGGAAGCGGATGACGGAGGGACAAGCGGGAGGTTGGAGCTACAGCCGAGCAGAGGCGGCAGCGGGCGGCGTATCGGGGAGAAAAAGCGGGTCGGACAGGCGGAAAGAAAAAAAAACTACGAGCCGGGGGATGGGGGGGGGGGGGGGGTGGGGAACAGTTTAACTCAATTTGACAAACCACGACCCGGAGGGACGCGCGGATCCGGGCACAGACGGACGCGCAAGGGAAAGCCGACACGTACCTTGGAGACGCCGGAGATTATGATCGTGCTTTTCCTGACGGGCGATTTCAGCTTGTGCCTGGCCGACTCCGTCAGCTGGCGGATTGCGGCTTCCGCCACGGGGTCAGCGCCGTTCAGGAGCATCAGCTCTGCAGAGCGGAGAAAGCGCGACCCGTTCAAAGCCACTCACGTCCCACTCGTAAAACTGCTCGTTAAAAAGCCCGCGCGCGATCGCTTGTCAGCGCAGCTCCAAGTCCCCGTCCCCCGACCAGCACCGACCCACCATCACCGGCCAGACCATCGGGCTTCTCTGCCCTCACTTTCTGGGAGTCTATCCTGGTCCTTTCGCCTGGAAACCCTTCTCTTGCCTCCTTCAAGGACCCTCCTCTTCGACCGCGCCTTTGGTCACCCTCCTACCCCCCCACCCACCCTCCCTACGAGAATCCATGTCACCACGTTACCGGACACTCCCCAGCCTTGCAAACATCTCTTCCCCTGTCCGTTCCTCACCCGTGTCGGACGATGACAAAGCTTTGCTGACTGATGCCTCCAGGGCACACTCTCCAACAGCCAGGCTTTCCGGCTCTGCCTCCTTCCCATCCGCAGGGCTCTTTGTGGGAGAGTCTGCAACGTGTAAGAAAGCAGCAGTCAGTTTCTTTACTCGTTCAATTTCTTTATTGATGTGTGGAGTCCCGTGGGGCGAGTGGTCAGCCCGCCCGCCTGGCAAGCTGGGTTCGATTCCCCGGGTAGGGCAAAACCCGATGCAAGTTTCCTTATTCCACACACGCCTGTTTACCTCGCAGTAAGTAGGTTGTTAGTCGATTGGCGGATCATTTTCCCCCTCCCTCCCCACCACCCCTAAAAAAGCGGTCGCTCAATCCACGGCTGTTTGTGGGGACGCTGCCGTGCGCAATTGGCTGCCGCGTTTCGCCCACAAAATACACAGTCACTCCACCTCACAGTATATTCTGTGAAGCGCTTTGTGTCGTCTCGAAGTCGTGATTTAAAGGCGCGATATTAAGCCCAAGTATTATTAGTGTTATTATTATTATTATTATTACTATTACTATTACCTGTGGGTGTTGCGATGAACTTGCCGTCTGCTCGAGGCTTGGTCTTCACGGCCGTTACGGTGGTGATGACGGTGCCGCAGGGCATGACCGTCCGATCCTTCTCCACTTTCCTCGCTGGAAGCAACGTGGGCAATTGCCGCGGTTTAACCTCGCCGGGCTCCATGTATGAGAACTGCGCAAAGCCACAGGGACGCGGGGATTAATACAGGACACGAACACATTCGCACAAGGCTATTCCATACCCTCTGCCGTCACACATCTCGACCATCGTGCAGAGGATACAGTTCTCCTCCCACCTCTGCGACCACCTAACCCCCTACCATTCTGCTCGCTCCCTCCGCTCAGCGTGCTCCGGCCTGCTTCACTGCTTCACGTCCCCCGTCTCGTTCGCCCCACTATTGGCGGGCGGGCCTTCCGCCACTCTGCCCCCCATCCTCTGGAACTCCATCCCACGATCCCCCTCCACCTAGCCCCTTCCCTTGTCACCTTCAATGCCCATCTCAAGACCCTCCTCTTAGACCGTGTTCTCCATCTCCCTGCTTTCCCCCCACCCCTCCCCCGTCCTCCACCCTCCCCGAACTCCTGCTCTAGTCCATAAGTCTGTCTGTCCAGCGCCTTGGGACGTCCTCCCAACGTGAAAGGCGCTTTACAAATATAATTTTGTTGTTGTTGCTGTCAACTCCCGAGCGGATTCACTGTACGTCAACTCAAATAGCCCAGGCTGACACTGGCTGGGAAAGGGGTGTGGGTGGGTGGCGGGGAGGAAAAAGAGCGCCAGAGGTCCTTTGAGTGCTTATAACATCTGATATAGCTGATCATGTCATTGAGACATCTCCAAGCTCTTCCAGGGTATATTGTAAAGTGGATTGACTTGTGTATTTGCGGGCGAAATCCAGCAGCCAATTGCGCACAGCAGTGTCCCATTTTGCACCTCATCTGGAGGTTGGGATCCGAAAGGGTGGAGGGCAGCGTGGGCGAGGGTAGGAGGGTGACTCCGAAGGCGGGGTCGAAGAGGAGGGTCTTCAGATGGGCCTTGATAGTGACGAGGGAGGGGACGAGACAAAGGCACTGTGGGATGGCGTTCCACAGGATGGGGACGGAGATGCTGAAGGCCTGACCGGCGATGGTAGGGTGTGCCGGGCGGGGGGGACATGGCTTACCTCAGCTGTGATGGATCCGGAGCTGTTCCCACTTTGGACATTGGACAGTCGGAAGCTTTGCCTTCCGCTGGGCTGTTTCTTGAAGAGATCGATTGGCACCATGACCTCACCCAAGACAACGCCTGTTGTAAAAATCACACACGAGGAAAAAAAAATGGGTCAAAGCTGGATATTACTGTGAGGAGGCGCTCTGCGACTTGCTAACTCCATATCGACCTGTTCACCACCTCCACTCCGCGAGCTCGGGCCCCCCCCACTACACTATCGGCGGTCGGGCCTTCAGCCTCTCCGCCCCACCCTCTGGACCTCCATCCCACGGCCCCTCCACCTCATCCCCTCGGTTACCCTCTTCAAGGCTTGTCTCAAGACCCTTCTTTTCGACCATGCCTTTGGTGACCCTTCTACCCCCACCCTCCGCCGCCCTCTCTGATCCCAACCCCCTGCCTGCAAATCCCTGCCTGTCCAGCAGCTTGGGACGTCTTCCCAACGTGAATATTTGGTCCAACTCATGCTGAGTTGATTTATCTACCGGGCGAGGGGGGCAATTGAGCACGATTTCCTTCAGAACCCACTGAGAGTGAGAGTGAGAGTGAGAGAGAGAGAGAGACAGACAGACAGACAGACAGACAGAGACTCAGACAGAGACAGACAGAGAGAAAGAAAGAAAGAAAGAAAGAAAGAAAGAAAGAAAGAAAGAAAGAAAGAAAGAAAGAAAGAAAGAAAGAAAGAAAGAAAGAAAGAAAGAAAGACAGAACGAAAGAAAGAAAGAAAGAAAGAAAGAAAGAAAGAAAGAAAGAAAAACAGAGAGAAAATAAGAAAGAAAAAAAAGGAAAGAGGAACAACCACAAGAACAAATTGCACTATATCACCATTCGTGTTGGGAGGACATCCCAAGGTACTGGCAGGTAAAGAGAGAGAGAAACACAGAACCCTTCACAGTATTCACTGTGAAGTGTAGCGACTGTGTATATCTGGAGGCCGAAACACCGACTGTCCAGTGCCTTGGGATGTCCTCCCGATGTGAAAGGGGCTATACAAGTGTCATCGTGTTGTTGCTGTAGGCGAACACGACAGCCAACGCACACAACAATGTTCCCAGAAACAACCATCAAGCGAATCATCAATTTTATCTGAGGGATGGTTGGCCAGGACACCAGGAGAGAAACTCCCTTCTCTTTTTGAGTTGTGGGTGGGACCTGAACTCTTCAGGCGGATGGGACCTCGGCAACACCTCCCATAACGCAAAACTACCCACCCACCCCCCCACCCAGCATTGCGCTGGAACGTCAACCTAGTCTGCATGAGCTCAAAGTCCTGAGGTAGCGACTTGAACCCACAGCCTTCCGACTCAGAAGGCGAGAGCGTTACCGACAGAGCCAGACTGACCTGGAAACCCAGGTCAAGCGGTTGACTATTCTCAGCGTAAAGAGACACGTCCTGGTGCCTGCCTTGTAATAATAATAATAATCCTTGCATTTGATATAGCGCTTTTCACGTCTTCTCGACGTCTCAAAGCGCATCACAGAATAGGCTGTAAAGTGAATTGACTGTATTTTTGTGGGCGAAACGCGGCAGCCAATTGCGCACAGCAGTGTCCCCACAAACAGTCGTGGATTGAAAATGACCAAATTATTGTTGTTTTCTGTTCTGGAGGGATTGTTATTAGGCTCTGTGTGGAGTAAGGAAACTTGCCCAAGGTTTCGCCCTCTGCCTGGAACTGAACCCAGGTCTCTCACTTGCGAGATGAGTGCTCTAACTGAGGCTATATTTATATATCATTTATGTATCGTAACCAAAACGTTCCATCACAAAGCTATTCGGCTGGACACTACCCCCAGCGCCCGCGTGGGCTACCCACTCTCGCAGGGCGATAAATCCTCCATGAGCTGCAAACGAAGCTTCCTGGATTTGCCGCTCAGCTCACTGTAGGTGGGGGGGGGTGGACAAGAGAGAGAGACAGCGAATTAGTCATGCAATCTTCCTTGAAAACCAATATACATACATATATATATATATACATACACACACATCGGCAGAGTGACCAAAAATTTGTGATACCATTATAATGTCTAATAAGTCTTAAAGAAATGATTATATTTTTGTGTGTTTTTTTTAAGATAATTTCATGATTTTTTTGGTCACCCTGTATATATATATATATACACACTAATAGAACAATCCTTGCATTTAATAATAATAATAATAATCCTTGCATTTGACATAGCGCTTTTCACGTCGGGAGCACTATCAAATGGAAGCCTCGACGTCTCAACGCGTTTCACAGATGTTCTGCAAAATGGGATCGACTTTTGTATTTTGCGGGTGAAACGCGGCAGTCAGTTTGCGCCCAGCGGTGTCCCACAAACCCCCGTGGAGCGAGTGAGTGAGAAATTTTATTCATTGGTTTGCGGCGGTGGTGATGGGGGGCAATGAGTCGGCCAGGACACCGAGAGAGAGGAACTCCCTTCTGTTTTCGAATAGCCCCGCGGGATCTTTAACGCCCGCCTGAACAGGCGCAGACGGGACGTCGGATTAATTAACGTCTCATCCGAAGGACGGCACCTCCGACAACGGCTTCGGAGACTGCGGGTGTAACGATGGGAGGGTCGGTCACTGAAGGTGGAGCTGGGTGGGGGAACGGAGGGCACTGCGGTCACTCACAAGACAAACTGCTGGTCCCGTGAAGGGCTGGAATGGGTGTTGATGGCAGAGCTGGAGACCTTTTGCACGGGGCTGTCCAGTCCTATAACACAGTACGTACGGATCCCACCTGCAGCATCACGGAAGGCATTGTGGGGTTAGGTTAGAGTCTGTGAAGGGGGAAGAGCAACACTGCGGCTTGTGAGTCGCTGCTTCAATTGAACAACACAACACAGCAAAACTCGCGCAAACCCGATCTCTATAAATCGTGCGATTGCCTCAGTCGTGCGGGCATTCGCCCGAGCGCCCCATTATACGCCCTCATCAAAACCACTTGAGAGAGTTTTCTTTGCACCGCTCGTGTAAATCACCTCCTAACTCGTAAACGCCGCTCCCTTACCCTCCGTTAAACCCCCCCCCCCACCCCACCGCACTTACCGGCTGCTTTGGATCGCGTCGAAACGTGGTCTTGATCCGTCGACACACGAGCGGAAGAACTTCACTTCGCAGCCTTTCTAACGCTGGCCGATGAATGCACATGCGGCGACGGGTCAAGACACACTGAGTTCTCGGGAAATGACGTCTTGAGCCGTCGCCGCACGTGCACTTACCGTCTGCAGTGAGTTACGCAGGCGCAGTGTAGATTATTCGCTAAAGTGGATCGTACACCAATCAGAGTCTGCCTGCAACTCGGACTTTGCGCAAGTCGCGTGAAACGTTACGTCCTCTGTGAGTGTTCACCGTATATAATCGATCGTTAAGAACAAACCTTGCCTTTGACCTGGCGTTTTGCACGTGGGGAGGACGTCTCAAAAGCGCTTCGCAAGGTAAGACTGTGCAGCGTATCCTTGTGGGCCAATGTGCCACACGCAGCCACGGGAGTCCGTGACCAACGTTATTTGAAGGATTGTTAGCCAGGAACCCCGGGAGCGAGAGAAACGCCCTCGTTTTCTTTGATTAGCGCCGTGGGGAAAACCAAAAGCCTCGGTTGCGCATCTCGTCCGAAAGACGGCACCTCTGACAACGCAACACTTTGCTAGATTGTCCAGACCGCGCGAGCTCAAAGCCCTGACGTAACTCGAGGTTCTCCGAGTGCGAGAATTTTAATATTACAAGGACTGTGCTCCAAAGCCTCCTGCGGGTGAGATCGTACCTGCGGGGTCAGACACTGGAAGATCATCCACTTTAATAATGCTCACAAGTAGTTTGCGTTCGTGAGCTCGGGGCGGTTTCGGAGGGGACGAGACCAACAGGGAGGCGTCTGGGTTTAGCAGATCCTGCGAGATCAGCAAATTCTAAACACAAAATGAATGGAGAGCGAGAGAGAAAGAGAGAGAGGGAGAGGGAGAGAGAGAGAGAGAGAGAGAAAAAGGGAGAGGGGGAGAAAAAGAAATAAGAATTAAAAATTCCATAAAAGTGAGAATGGAATGGTCTGGGGCTCTGTTGAGAAAGTATTAATCACAATAATAATCCTTGCATTTGATAACGTTTCACAGGATATTCTGCAAAGTGTAGTGACTGTTGTTTTATTGGTGGAACGCGGCAGCCAGTTTGCGCACAGCAATGACCCACAAACAGCCGTGGAGTGAGCGACCGATTTTATTTGGGGGAATTGTTGGCCAGGACCCCGGGAAGAAGAAACTCCCTTTCTTCCCTTTCCAAGTTGTGCCACGGGATCTTTAACATTCACCTAAACACGGACCTCGGTTTGACGTCTCATCTGAAGGAAAGGGCAAGGCGGAGGAAATAGGCAGAGGTTTCTAAAGGTTCGGGGGCGTAGAGGCTGAAAGCACGGCTGCAGATGGGTTGGGACTAGGGAGGTGTAGGAGTGTAAGCCGGTGTAAGCAGGTCAGAGAGGTAGTTGATGCCAGGGCATTCAGTGATTTGTACGAGAGTGTGAGGATCCTGAAATCGATCCGTTCTGCAATAAGACGCTCTGAACACTTGCAACAACTGTGGTTGAATTTAGTTTTACATAGAAACATAGGAACAGGAGGAGGCCATTCAGCCCCTGGAGCCTGTTCCGCCGTTGTATAATGATCTGTACCTCGACTCCAATTACCAGCCTTTGCCCCATATCCCTTGATACCCTGACCTAACAAACATCTATCCACCTCAATCTTGAAAATGTGAATGGATTCAGGATCCTCAGCCTTTTGGGGGAGACAGTTGCAGATTGTACATGTATTTTTATATAATATATATACATATAAAGTAAATTAATAAAATGAGAAATAAACATACAATTTACTTTACAGTATATTCTGTGAAGCGCTTTGAGACGTCTGAACAATGTGATAAGAAGCTATATCAAGTGTAAGGATTATTATTATTAATTATTATTATTATTATTGAAACACTCACACTGGCTTGGATTCCTCTCGCGGGTCCGGCCTTTACACTCAGGATCACCGCGGGCTGTGCCGAGGTCAGCATATCCTGCAGGAGAGTATGAATGGTCTCCAGGTCCACTGCTCCCTCTTCGTCGGACCCCTGATGAGGGCAGGAGACACAGAGGACAACTCAATGCAATAAATACAATAGTTAACTTTCTAGTCGGGTGGACGCACTCAAAGTGCTTTACGCTGCAGGCTGGACACCCGAACAGGGGGGCCGGGGTCATTTCAACACAAATCCCCCCCCCAAAATGCACTTATAGAGTGCCTTTTTGACGTCGGGAGGATGTCCCAAGGTGCTGGACAGTCAATGGTTTGCACCAGAACTGGAGGCGGGGATCAGAGAGGGATTGAAGGAGCTCTCCCCACCATTCTCTCTCTCTCTCTCTCCCACCCCTCTCTCCCCCCCTACTCTCTCCCACACCCCCCACTCCGCATTGAGACTGATTACCACATCCACTCTCTCCCCCCGTCTCTCTCCCCCCTCCCTCTTTCTCCTCCCCACTCTCTCTCCCCTCCCTCTCTCCCCCATTCTCTCTCACCCCCCCTTTCCCCCTCCTCTCTCCTCCCACCTCTCTCTCCCCCCCGCTGCCCCCTCCAGGGCAGGGAGCAAACCCTCCAGTCACCGACCTCTCTCCTGACTCGGGGTGTGATGTTCAGAGCCAGGGTTTGACAGTTCACCAGGTTCCACGTGACCTGAACCATGTCTTCAGTCTCTCGAATGTGAACTTCCAGCTGTGGGTGGGGAGAAAGAAGAGAGTGACAAGTGCTGAGGGCAAAGGGATTCAATGGCCTCTGTCACACATAATAAAACATAAACTCTACCCACCCCACCCCACCCCCACACACGCACACCAAGCACGTACACACCACACACATACACGCGCACCACACACACACGCACCACGCACACATACCACACACACACATACCAAGCACACACAGACCACACGCACCACACACACCAAGCACACACACACGCGCACCACACTGCTAATATCAGACGATATAGAAGTTCACAGCTAATTTTTAGCTGCATGAGGGATTGTTGACCAGGATGGTGGGAAGAAACTTCCTTCTCTTTTCGAACAGTAGAACCACAGGATCTTAACCGTCCACTTGAACAGGTAGATGAGGCCTCGGTTTCATGTCTCATCCGAAGAGCAGCACCTCTGGCAATGCAGTGTCAACCACCGTCCCCCCACTCCGAACCACCCCCACCGCCCGCGCGCGCGCGCACCCACACACACACACACAAACACAATGCACTGTTTTGGAGCCTCATCAACAACAATAACAACAACAACATTACATTTGTATAGCGCCTTCCATGTCGGGAGGACAGTGTTTTGGACCCAAGCTGGGGATTGGGATCGGGGAGGGTGGAGGGCAGGGGAGGAAGCAGGCTGACCGAAGACGTGGTCGAAGAGGAGGGTCTTGAGACGGGTCTTGAAGGAGGCAAGGGGCGGGGGAGAGGGAGGCAAGCGGAGGGACTGCAGGATGGAGTTCGAGAAGGTGGGGCAGAGTGGCAGAAGGCCCGTCCGCCAATAGTGGGGCGAGCGAGGCGGGGGATGTGAAGCAAGTCGGAGCTCGCTGAATGGAAGGAGCGGGCAGGTCGCAGAGGGAGGTGGGGAGCAAGACCATGGAGGGCTTTAAAAGTTAGGACCAGGATCTTGAACTGTATCCTCTGTGTGATGGGAAGCCAGTGGAGTTGGCGAAGGACGGCGGTGATAGGGTCACGGAGCACTGGTGCTGGAGAGGACACGGGCTGCAGCGTTCTGGATGATCTGCAGCCTATGAAAGGAGGAGTTGGAGAGGCCAAAAAGCGAGGAGTTTACGTATTCATGCCCGGATCTTACGAATGCGTGTGTGAGGGTCAGCACAGGCTACGTGATCTCAAAGTGCTCACGTGGGGTTTGAACCTACAACCTTCAGACTCAGAGATGAGAGTGCTGCAGATTGAGCAGGACTAAGGTCTTAAAGGGTTTTGAACTAGTTATGTGGAGCAGACATAAAACTAATCATAATTTTCCTTGCATTTGATACAGCGCCTTAACATGTCATTGAGACGTCTCAAAGCTCTTCACAGAATATATTGTAAAGTTAATGGACTGTATATTTTGCGGGCGAAACGCGGCAGCCAATTGCGCGCAGCAGCGTCCCCACAAACAGTCGTCAAATAAATTCATCAATAAAAGTCGAGCCACAATGTACCTGGGCGTGAAGTGGGGACACTTGGACATTGAAGGACTCCATTCCCATGGCCGCAGGCGATTCCTGAGTCACGCTGATAGAAAACTGAGCGCACTCACCGGTCACGTAGCATCCCATAACCTAAACAAAAAAAGCATAAAACATTGAGAAAAACTTAGGGAAGAATTATTAGCTTCCGCACCAAAATAATAATAATCCTTCCATTTGCTATAGCTCCTCATCACATCATTGTGACGTCTCAAAGTGGTTTACAGAATACACTGTAAAGAGGATTTACTGTGAATTTTGCGGGTGAAACGCGGCAGCCAATTGCGCACAGCAGCGTCCCACAAACGGTCGAGGATTGAGTGACCGAAGTATTAGTTATTTATTTTTTCGAGGGATTATTATCCCCGGAAACGATCCGTCAGTCGACGAACAACGGGGTTTGCTAGGTAAACAGAGGTGTGTGAAGTAAGGAAACTTGCCTAAGGTTTCGCCCTGCCCGGGGAATCGAACCCAGGCCCTCTCGCTACGCTACGAGACTCCACAATGCGCTTTGCAAAACATTGCTTTGCAAAGTCCTGATAGGTACAGAGGCAGCAGCCTATCTGCATTGAGACTGATTACCACATCCATCTGTTCTTGGGTGAATGTGGGGTGACTGCTGGAGACTAACCAGCTAAAACCACATACTTTGCCATTGATATCGCTGTCTGGCAAGCTTTAGATACTGTAAAGTGGATTGAATGCATATTCGAGCTTTAAGAATTAGTTAGACCTGACGTTCAAATCTCGTCCATCCCAACTTAGCACAATCTCCTGCATCCCTTTACTCCATCCGTATCTTCTGCTCTTCCAACTCCCAGCCCTCGTAAACTCATCTTAAAATCTTTCCACAGTCTCGCCTTTCCCCTACCTTTGTGACAAGGTGCTGGACGGTCAGGGATTTGGACCCGAGATGGGGGTTGGGATCAGGCATTGTGGAGGGCAGGGAGGGTGGGGGTAAGAGGGTCACCAAAGGCACGGTCAAAGAAGAGGGTCTTGAGACTGGCCTTGAAGGAGGCGACGGAAGGAGAGAGGCAAAGGGACTGTGGGATGGAGTCCAAAAGACTAGCGGTAGAGAGGCTGAAGGCCCGGCCGCCGATGGTGGGCCTTGTGGGGGACATACAGCAGGCTGCAACCTGCCGAGTGGAGGGAGCGGACAGGTCGATATGGGAGTGATGAGCAGGTCGCAGAGGTGGGTAGCACCAAGGCCCAAAATACCTCTTATTTAAGAGGTGGACCGTTCAGAAATATAGAGGTGCTCAGATGTCCATATCCAATTGGAAGTCAATTACGAGTGACAACAAACAGATTTATTATTTGCAAATTTCCAAAGAACAGAAATTTGTGTTCATTGTGAAACACCTGTTGGCAATCTGTTTAAATCTTCCAGCGAATTTCTTCCATGGAAATTCTCTCCCTGATATTTTGAAGTGCATACAAAGCTCATTGGAAGCGAGTTACAAGTTCCAACTCATCCAAATCTCTGCAGCCTCTATTTTCTCCCACACGCCTATTACCTCCATCATGGGGGGGAGGGGTGGGGTTTTCAGAACTAGCTAAATGTCGCCCATCCTAACTGAGCGCAATCTCCTCCATCTCTTTCTCCTGCCCATACCTTCTGCTCTTCCAACTCCCAGCCCTTGTAAACTCATATTAAAATATCTCCAGTCTCGCCTTCGCCCTATCTTTGTGCCGTCCTTCAGCCACACCGACCCAGCCTCCTCCATGTCCCCCGGCCCTATCCACCCCACTATAGGCAGATGGACTTTCAGCCATCCTTCCCCCCACTTTCTGGAACTCCAGCCCAGATCTCTCCGACTCCATCCATTTCACCCCTCAAGGTCCATCTCAAGACCTACCCGTTTGACTGTCCTTTCAGATATCTTTCCCCTTCCCCTATTCCACCCCCTGGATTGGGAAGGGTGGTCCTAGGTGGACAGGCAGCGGGAAAGCTTACCAGACAGTGTTCTCAATGGCAGGCTATGTGGTTTTAGCTGGTTAGGCTCCAGCAGTTACCCCAACACACACTCTGGGGTCCCCAAGCCTTGGCTCTTACCAATCTGCGCCTAATACTTTCTGGAATTAGGTAAACAGGATGTGTCCCTCCAGGGAGAGTGAGCGCATTCCATTCCAACAATCTATCTCTGGGGTTTCAACAACAACAAGATTACATTTGTATAGTTCCTTTCATGTCGGGAGGACATCCCAAGGCGCTGGACGGGAGGGGAGAGGAAGGGGTGTGACCGATGGCATGGTAGAAGAGAAGGGTCTTGAGGCGGGAATTGAAGGAGGCTAAGGAGGGGGCGAAGCGGAGTGACTGGGGGATGGAATTCCAGAGGTTGGGTGCAGAGTAGCTGAAGGCTCTCCCACCAATTGTGGGGTGGGTGGGTCCGGGGATGTCGAGCAGGCCAGAGCCGGCTGAGCGGAGGAACGGGCGGGTTGGTAGGGGGTTAGGCGGTTGCAGAGGTAGGGTGGGGCGAGGACATGGAGGGCTTTGTAGGTTAGGACCAGGATCTTGAACTGGATCCTCTGAAGGATAGGGAGCCAATGGAGTCGAGCGACAGTGGGGGAGATGGGGTCACGGAGTTTGGTGCGGGAGAGGACACAGGCTGCAGAGTTCAGGATTATCTGCAGTCTGTGGAAGGAGGAGTTGGGAAGGCTGACAAGCAGGGCGTTTGCACAGTGAAGCCTGGAGGTGATGAAGGCATGAACAAGAGTTTCGGTGGCCTGAGGGGTGAGGTAGTGGTGGAGTCGGGCGATGTTACGGAGGTGAGGAAAGGCAGAGGGAATCATGGCTTGGATATGGGGAAGAAAAAGCAGTTGAGAGTCGAACAAGACACCGAGGTCCCTGACTGGCTGGTGAGCTGTAGTGTGCAACCATGGAGGTTGATGCTGCCAGAACGTGAGGCGCAGAGGCGCTGGCGCGAGCGAATCACGAGGGCCTCAGTCTTGTTCACATTCAACTGTAGGAAATTTGCCCTCATCCAGGACTTGATGTCCGCCAGGCAGTCTGTCAGGACAGCAGTGGTCCTGGAGTTGAGGGTGGAGGCAGAAAGATAGAGTTGGGTGTCATCCGCATTCATATAGAAGTTGACCCCATGTCTGCCATGTTTCCACGTGAAGGTGGGATGCATGGGATTCTCAGTCTGATTTGGATGCTCCTAAGCTCAGTGATGTGTTTCAGTATCTGTCAGACACCCGGCTGACCACCCCTCAAAAAAGTGAGTAGCTGATTTTACGCTAAACAGGGAAAGTAAAAAAGTCCTGGAGCTTGGAAACTGCAGCAGCACACTCCCAGACATCAGCATACACATGTTAATGATGTGATATAAAAATAATCATAGACCAGATTATGAAAGGGGTTTTAACTCACCAAGTGCTGCTCTGACTGGGCAGCGATGTTAACCTGGCTGAGAGAGAGCGCAGAGGGATGTGGACCCACCCGATCGATGGTTAGTTGGAATGAACTCTGTTTGAGGCAAAATAGAGGACAACAAAGAGTAAAATAACCAGGAGCTCAATAATAATAATAATCCTTGCATCTGATGTAGCACCTGATCACATCTTCGAGACCTCAAAGCGCTTCACAGAGGCGTGTGGAGTAAGGAAACTTGCCCAACGTTTCGCTCTGCCGGGAATCAAACCCAGATCCCCTCGCTCGCTCGCGAGGCCAGTGCTCTAACCACTAAGCTACAGGACTCCACTGAGCTCCACTAACCGCGAAGCTGCAGCACGCCAAAACATAACAGAAACCAATGACATTCATACAGCGCCTTTCGCGTCAGAAGGATGTCCCAAGGCGCTGGACAGTTAAGGGCGGAGGGTAGGGGGGGCCGGAGGCGGGTCAAGAGGAAGGTCTTGAGATGGGCCTTGAAGGAGGCAAGAGAGGGGAGCGGAGGGAGAGGGCAGGTCGGTACGGTGTTAAGAGGTCAGAAGCTTAAGGCGGTCAGTTGCAGACTCATCAGTCACTACGCCCTGTGGTGCATTGGTCAGAGCGCACGCCTCACAGGCTGAGGACCCGGGTTCAATTCCCAGGCGGGGCGAAACCTTAGGAGAGTTTCCTTTTTCCACCACTGCTTTTTCTGCATAACCCGCCAGTTAGTGGGTTGGCGGCTCGCTTTCTGGGGGTAATAATCTGTCCACAAAAATACACATGTTATAATCATTGAAAAAATTGCTCGCTTCAACCACCACAACCGTTGGCGGAACCCGGCCGTGCGCAATTGGCTGCCGCCTTCCGGTGGCAACACACAACACAACACACGCGGTCTATTCACTTTACAGGATATTTCGCCTTGGGGGGCTTTCAGACGTCTCAGCGCGATGATAAGGCGCTGCATCAAATGCCAGGATGGTTATTAGTGTTATCACGCAGACGGTTCAAGGCGATAAGGAGCTGCATTCGAAACAAATGCTGGTCCCCCCCCCGAGGGCAGACGTCAAACATTCCACGTGGCACTCCTCGAAAAGGGAAGGGCGTTTTTCCCAGCGTCCTGATCGACAATTCCCCCCTCCCCCCCCCCCCCCCACCAGATTAAATTGGGTCGTTCACCGTCGTTTGGGACGTTGCTGCGCGCAAATTGTCTGCCGCGTTCGCCACGCGGCACGGCGCCCTTCGTGGGAATGACGGCGAACCGACGTGAGGCATATCCGTGTCACGACAGCGACCGCCGTGATCCTTGCCTTCGACGCAGCGCCTTTAGCGCGTCGTTGAGACGTCTCGAAAGCGCGTCACGGGATGCACTGCAAAGTGACTTAATCGACTGTGCATTTTGAAACCCTCAGCCACTTGCGTCCGGCAGCGCCCCACAAACCGTCGGGGAGCGAGTGACCGGATTTTTTTTTTTTTTTCACCGGAGGGACGGTCACCCCCAGGAAGTGATCCCGCCAATCGGCTAACGATCGGGTTCCTGCTTACGGCCGGGTAAATAGAGGCGGGCGGAGCAAGGAAACCTGTGTGAGGTTTCGTCCCCGGCCAGGAATCGAACCCGGGTCTTCTCGCTTGCGAGGCGAGAGCCCTCACCACTGCGCCGCGGGACTCCCGGTTGCATTTCAGTCCCCGTTCGTTTGGTGGTAAGCGTGAAACCTCCGACTTACCCCGTTCTTCGTGGCCGCCTCGTTGAGGGCGCTGACCCACGCCCCCTGCCACTCGCCGCTCCAGGTCTTCAGGGACAGCAACCAGGACAGGGCGGCGGACAGCGGGGGGCACTGGCTCGCCGGCGAGGCTTTCACCCCATCCCCGCGCCCACGAGACACCAACGCCCGCTGGGCACTGTACTGGGCCAACATGAAGACTGAGGCGACGAAGAGGAGCAGGAGACCGTACCAACACCCGCCCTCCGGGAGGGCGGACTCCAGCAGTTCCCCCCAGTCTGACATGGTGGCTCGGTGAGGGTAGGCAGGTTTGGGGCGCGGTTGGCGGTGGTGGGGGGTGGGAATGGGGTGGTGGTGGGGGGGGGGGGGGGGGGCGGCGCGGATGAGGGAGGTAAAAGTGGGCAGACAGCGGTGAGGCTGAGGGGCAAGAGGGTCGGAGAAAGGGGAGAATGCACGAGGAGGAAGGAGGGAGGGAGAGGAGGAGGGAGCGAGAGGGGAGGAGAGTGAGAGGAGGGAGTGAGAGGAGAGGAGGGAGAGTGAGAGGAGGGAGTGAGACAGGAGAGTAAGAGAGGCGGACAAGGAGGGGCTGGGAAAAGAGAGAAAGAGAGAGAGAGAGAGAGAGAGAGAAAGAGGAAAAAAGAGAGAAGCGAAAAGGAGAAATAAGAAAAAGGGAGCGAGGGGAAAAGGGAGTTGGAGAGAGAGAGGGGGAAAGGGAAAGGGAGAAAGAATAGAGAGTGAGTGAACCAGACACCACACCACAGGACAAACTGCTGCAGTGAAAAATAACAGAGGCCACGATGAGATTTTCCTGTGGATGGGAAAAGCGAGAGGGGAGGAGGGAGCGAGAGAGGGGAGGAGGGAGGGAGAGAGGGGAGGAGGGAGGGAGAGAGGGGAGGAGGGAGGAGAGGAGGAGTGAGAGAGGGGAGTGAGAAAGGAGAGGAGAGGATGGAGTGAGAGAGGGGAGGAGGGAGGGAGAGAGGGGAGGAGGGAGTGAGGAGGGAGTGAGAGAGGGGAGTGAGAAAGGAGAGGAGAGGATGGAGTGAGAGAGGGGAGGAGGGAGCGAGAGAGGAGAGGAGGGAGTGAGAGAGGGGAGGAGGGAGGAGAGAGGGAGGAGGGAGGGAGAGAGGGAGCGAGAGAGGGGAGTGAGAGAGGAGAGGAGGGAGCGAGAGAGGGGAGTGAGAGAGGAGAGGAGAGGAGGGAGTGAGAGAGGGGAGTGAGAGAGGAGAGGAGAGGAGGGAGTGAGAGAGGGGAGGAGGAGGAGGAGGAGAGGAGGGAGTGAGAGAGGGGAGGAGGGAGCGAGAGAGGGGAGGAGGGAGGGAGAGAGGGAGCGAGAGAGGGGAGTGAGAGAGGAGAGGAGGGAGCGAGAGAGGGGAGTGAGAGAGGAGAGGAGAGGAGGGAGTGAGAGAGGGGAGGAGGGAGCGAGAGAGGAGAGTGAGAGAGGAGAGGAGGGAGTGAGAGAGGAGAGGAGGGAGTGAGAGAGGAGAGTGAGAGAGGAGAGGAGGGAGTGATAGAGAGAGGAGGGAGTGAGAGAGGAGAGGAGGGAGTGAGAGAGGAGAGGAGGGAGTGGAGAGAGGAGGAGTGAGAAAGGAGAGAGGAGAGGAGGATAGAGAGGAGAGGAGGGAGTGAGAGAGGAGAGTGAGAGAGGAGAGGAGGGAGTGATAGAGAGGAGAGGAGGGAGTGAGAGAGGAGAGGAGGGAGTGAGAGAGGAGAGTGAGAGAGGAGAGGAGGGAGTGAGAGAGGAGAGGAGAGGAGGGAGTGAGAGAGGAGAGGAGAGGAGTGATAGAGGAGAGTGAGAGAGGAGAGGAGGGAGTGAGAGAGGAGAGGAGGGAGTGAGAGAGGAGAAGTGAGAGGAGGAGGAGGAGAGGAGGAGAGGAAGATGAGAAGAGAGGAAGAGGAGAAGGGGACAGTGAGAGTGAGGAGTAAAGAGAGGGGCAGAGAAGGGGAGAAAGGGACAGAGGAGGGCAGTGAGAGAGAGAGAGAGAGAGGAGTGAGACAGAGAGAGAGAGAGAGGGAATGAGAGAGAGAGAGGAGAGGAGTGAGAGAGAGAGAGAGAGAGGATGAGAGAGAGAGAGAGCGAGAGAGACAGAGAGAGAGAGAGAGAGAGGGAATGAGACAGAGAGAGAGAGGAGTGAGACAGAGAGAGAGAGAGAGAGAGGAGTGAGACAGAGAGAGAGAGAGGGAATGAGACAGAGAGAGAGAGAGAGGGAATGAGAGAGAGAGAGAGAGGAGTGAGACAGAGAGAGAGAGAGAGAGGATGAGACAGAGAGAGAGAGAGGAGTGAGACAGAGAGAGAGAGAGAGAGGGAATGAGACAGAGAGAGAGAGGAGTGAGACAGAGAGAGAGAGAGAGAGGAGAGAGAGAGAGAGGGGGAACAGAGTGATAGTGAGAGGAGAGGGAGAGGCTGTGTGGCCGCGGGTCCCGGTCCCGGTCTCCCGCTGTCCGGTCGCTCACAGGGCCGCGCGGCTCCTCCAACCCCCGGCCCTGTGGGCGGGGCCGCGGGGCCCTGTGGGCGGGGCCTGTGGGCGGGGCCGCGGGGCCCTGTGGGCGGGGCCTGTGGCGGGGCGGGGGGGGCGGGGCCGGTGGGGGGCCGCGGGCTATGGCGGGGCCGAGGGCCATGTGGGCGGGGCCGCGGGGCCTATGGGCGGGGCCGCGGGGCCTGTGGGCGGGGCCCTGTGGGCGGGGCCGCGGGGGCCAGTGGGCGGGGCATTGCTGCTGGTTGTGGGCGGGGCACAATGGGAATGTGGGCGGGGCCTGGTCCTGCGATGGCACTGACCCCCCCACACACACACCCTCACACTGACCCTGACACACACTGACCCACACACTGACCCCCTCCACACACACCCTCACACTGACCCATACACACACTGACCCCCCCCACACACACACACCCTCACACTGACCCTACACACACTGACCCACACACTGACCCCCACACACACACCCTCACACTGTCCCATACACACACTGACCCACACACTGACCCCCCACACACACACCCTCACACTGACCCATACACACACTGACCCACACACTGACCCCCCACACACACACACCCTCACACTGTGCCATACACACACTGACCCACACACTGACCCCCCACACACACACCCTCACACTGTCCCATACACACACTGACCCACACACACACCCTCACACTGTCCCATACACACACTGACCCACACACTGACCCCCCCCACACACACACACCCTCACACTGACCCATACACACACTGACCCACACACTGACCCCCCACACACACACACCCTCACACTGTGCCATACACACACTGACCCACACACTGACCCCCCCACACACACCCTCACACTGTCCCATACACACACTGACCCACACACTGACCCCCCACAGACACACACCCTCACACTGTCCCATACACACACTGACCCACACACTGACCCCCCACACACACACCCTCACACTGACCCATACACACACTGACCCACACACTGACCCCCCACACACACACACACCCTCACACTGTGCCATACACACACTGACCCACACACTGACCCCCCCACACACCCTCACACTGTCCCATACACACACTAACCCACACACTGACCCCCCCCCACACACACACCCTCACACTGTGCCATACACACACTGACCCACACACTGACCCCCCCACACACACACCCTCACACTGTCCCATACACACACTGACCCACACACTGACCCCCCCACACACCCCTCACACTGTCCCATACACACACTGACCCACACACTGACCCCCCACACACACCCTCACACTGACCATACACACACTGACCCATACACTGACCCCCCCCACACACACACACCCTCACACTGTGCCATACACACACTGACCCACACACTGACCCCCCACACACACACCCCCTCACACTCTCCCATACACACACTGACCCACACACTGCCCCCCCACACACACACCCTCACACTGTCCCATACACACACTGACCCACACACTGACCCCCCACACACACCCTCACACTGTCCCATACACACACTGACCCACACACTGACCCCCCACACACACCCTCACACTGTCCCATACACACACTGACCCACACATACACACCCACACTGTCCCTCACACTGACCCTGACCCCCACGCAGCCACACAATGACCCATACATAAACCTTCAGACACCGACCCTGACTACACCCTCACACTGACCCTTACACACACTGACCCTGAGACACACACAGTCAGACAATGACCTTTACACACACCCTCAGACACTGATCCTGACATACACCTTCACACTGACCCTTACACACGCTGACCTTGACCCCAACACACTAACCCTTACACAAACCCTCACACTGACCCTTACACAAAGCCCCAGACACTGACCCTGACACACACCCTCACACTGACTCTCACACACACTGAGACTCGGGACACCCTCCTGACGTGAAAGGAGCTGTACAAATGTAATGTGTTGTTTGTGGCTGACCCTGACCTCACACACAGCGACCCTAACACCCACACGCAGACCGACCCTGACACACAGCCACAAACTGACCCTCACACTGACCCTGACATTCTGACAGTGACCCTAACATGCCGTGATACACACTGACCCTGACCATCTCACACGCACGCACACACGCGCACACATACACAGTAACCCTGATCTCACACACACACTGACTCTCAATCCATCCAGACACACAGTGACGCTGACCCTCACACCCTGACACGTACACACACGCGCGCACGCACACACACACACTACTCTCACTAATACACACTGACCCTGACACACAACCTCACCACAAACATACTAACTGTGATGCTCACACACTGTCGCGCACACGCTCACACCGACACAACCCCCTCACCAACACACCGGTATACCCTGACCCACTTTCACACGCTGACACCCCACCCACACACTCTCGTACCGACTCACACGCGCACACACACACACACACAGACACACACAGACACACATTCGCACACTCACCGATCCCGCGATACGATTCGAAGACGGAGGTTTCTCCAGTGTCCTGGTCAAAAATCCTTCGGACTGTTCCCCGTCCTTCTTCGGCTGAGACTTTAAACCGAGGTCCCGTCTGCCTGTTCAGGCGGACGGTAAAGATTCCGCAGCGCTATTCGAAAAGAGAAGGAAGTTTCTCTCCCGCTTTCTCGGTGTCTTGCTCGAAAAATCCCCCCCAATGGAAATGGGTCGCTCGCTCCATGGCTGTTCGCGGGACACGGCTGTGGTCAAACTGGCGGCTGTTTGTCGTCCGCAAAACACA